GGGGCGGCTGGGGCGGTGGGCGGCAGGCCTGGTGCAGGCACACCCTTCCTGGGGCATCTCAGCTGCCGCGGGGCAGTGAGCCCAGACGCCCACTCCTGGGCCTGCCTCCTCAGAGCGACCTCCCGCCCCGTGGGGGCAGGGCTCTGCCCGACGGCACTGCCCGATGGCCAGCCGTGGTCAACTGGTGAAGCCATGTGAGGGCAGCGCAGGCCCTGCTCTCGGGGTAGCGCAGCCTCCGACCAGAATGTGACCCTGAGGGCGGCGCAGGCCAGCGCTGGGCGCGGAGGGGGCTGGCAGGGCGCTCACGCCCGTCTCCACAGGACTTTGGCAACTACCACCTGGGGGTCATGTCCTGGATCATCCCCATGTTCGTGGGCCTTTCCTGCTTCGGCTCCGTCAACGGGTCCCTGTTCACGTCCTCCAGGTGAGTGCTGACCGCTGCCCACGGCCTCCCGCATGCCAGGGCGCAGCTGGCCACGGGCCTCCTGGCAGAGCGCTAGATAGACGGGGGCCCTGGGCTCCCCTCTCTGCCGAGTCTGTCACGGCTTCTGCGTGAACCTCCAGGGCTGGGGGCGGGGCAGGCCCAGCGCCCCCCTGCGCCAGCCAGGCCACTGGGGCACAGCACCGAAGGGGCCGGGCCGGCCCATGCCCTCGCCGGGGCTGTCGCCGGGGTGACGTCCCGCCGTGCCCACAGGCTGTTCTTCGTGGGCTCCAGAGAGGGCCACCTGCCGTCCATCCTGTCCATGATCCACCCACAGCTCCTCACCCCTATGCCCTCCCTCGTGTTCACGGTAAGCCCGGGGCGCGGAGCCCGGGGCGGGGAGGGGTGTGCGCCCCTTCTGCGGGGGGCCGTGGGGCGGGGCCACAGCCCCCACGGGGAAGCAGCGGCAGTGAGTGGGGCCCTCGCTTCCTCCCGCCGCTGCCGCTGAGCCCAGAGGCCGCTGTTTATCCCAGAAACAGCGGCCAGGAGCAGGACTGGCCTGGGGACCTGGGCTCCTCCCCTCCTCCGGGCTGGCCCCAGCTCGTCCAGACGAGGGTGCTGGGGGTCAGCCGGGGGAGCCCCTGGGTCCCTTCGCCCCCGCAGCGCGGTCAGAAAGCGCCGCCCCCTCTCCAGCGCAGGGCTGTGCCCCCGGAGCCGCAGCGAACCCTGTGCCC